GGGAAGGTGTTTATAGAGTCTAGAAACATCTCTGCGTCCTTGTGGGTGACAAATTATTTTCCACCCTACAACCCCTTTCTCACAAACGAAACATCACAAGTGACTGTGAAATGTTGACATTGTTATAATTGACTTAATTAGCATTGTGCTTCTTAATAGAGCTTGTGTAATGTTTGTGATATGCAAACATTGATGCTGTTGCCTTCATTACTGGCAGATGAGTTTGAAAGCCTGTTGTTACTCTATTACTATTTCTATGGCAAATGTTCAGATGAGTTCCATTTTCTTTTTAGTTCCACCAGTTCAGACTTTTACATCTCAGATTTGCTATGCTATTTCCATGTAGTTGAATCCCCCACATTTTTCCCATATTCCATTTGTAAGGATGCTCCACTCGAACAACTTTCTCAAGAGAAGTGCTACTTTGTGGAACATGCTTCCCTGAACACTATAATCTTAACTTCAAAAGGCAGTTATCTATCCTCATTATCCTCACTTCCTTTGACATTCTCTTACATTCATATCACAGACCTCATTCAGTAACCCTCTACCATGAGTGGTTCTCGAGCCTTGCATTGGGGGAACTTTAAACTTTAAGTCGGAAATAGATTATTTACAAATAGATAAATATTAAAGCAATTTCTAAAGAATAAAGGATCAATTTTTTTAATTCGACATTTTTATTACATCAAACATTATTATAGTGGATACTCATATTTAAAATAGATGCCCCATTTTTATTTTTACTTTAAATAATGTGTATTACATCTATTGGTCTGTGTATTCCATTATGTCCCATGCATGATACACACTTAGGCGATCATGTATCTTTTGATACATAACTGACAAGGCAGATTTTTTTCCCACAGTAAGTTGCCATTTCTTTCTGTAGTAAACCAGATGCCATCCAAGGCTATAGAACCCAGTCTGTCCTGCTATTTACCCATAGTTGGAGGGAGAAGAAGAGGATTCATACCTTTCCCAAGGGATATTAGCATGTAAGTGAATGTAATGGATTCAACTTGAATTCAAAAAATCTTAATAAAGAAAATGTGCTTTTCAGCAGCGATTGAGCCTGTGTCCTCTTCTGTCAGAGGAACTACTGTTTGATCTGGTGTGCTTTACTGCTCAGCTACAGAGAGCATCACAGTTCAGCAAGTCTCTATTTTTCTTTTTAAGGAAAGCCCTCTTCCTCACTAAGATATTTTTCTCAAAAATCCATATTTGGTCTGTTTCATATCTGGAACATAAACAAAGCAATTTCTAAAGAATTAATGGATTTATTTTTTTAATCTGACAGTTTTATTACTTTGGAATATTAAAAGTTTGAAATATAACGTAATATATTTTAAAGCATTATGTATCAGTTTATGCAATGTCCTTTTTTTTCGCAAAATAAAAATGAATGGCTTTTAAGAGCATTAATCTTCCTGCATAGCAGGTGATTATGGATTTTCTCTTGTAAAGAAAGGATAAATAAAGAAAAAAGTATAAAATTGAACTGCTTAAGATTCAGAAAGGATTTTTTGTGGAGGTGGGTTATCAAGAAAGAATTTCTTCTTCCAATTTTCCAATGAAGCCATATTATTGGAACGGAATGCTGCAATTTTATTGGTTTGGGATTGTTATTTATAAAGCTTTGTTCTGTCTGGCTCAAGGCCACAAGCTGCTTATAATACCTGCTGTTCATAAGCGGACACTCTGCTTTGCCCTGCTACAGGTTGTTTCCACTCCCTGATAATTTCATAAGCAATCACACTCCTCATACTGTAATATACAGGGTGTCCCCCCACCACCACCACAAAAAAATTGACATTATTTTGTAGTCTAGTAATATAGTCAATTCTTGTTCAACTGATCTCTAAATTTGACAAGATGTGTAAAAACTAAGTTGACTGTTCAATTTTATCTCAATGAGAATCTACCAGGAAGATGGCTCAGGTATGCCACTGATAATGACAATGGACTGTTGAAATGGCCACCATGTTCACCGACTTGGTACCTTGTGATTTTTTTTTATATATGGAGCTATGTGAAAGGACAGGTCTATATTCCCCTTATTCTTACAAGCCTAGAGGAACTTAAGCAGGGAATCACTAAGGTGCTGGAGCATGTTGCGCAAGACATGCTACATCGTGTTTGGCAGAAGCTGGACTACCAACTGTCGTGTAACAGGTTTACACATATTAAACATTTGTGAAGCTTTGTGAAATTAGTTATAAAATCTACATCCTTTTGAATATCTTTCTTGAATTTTGATAAATAAATTTTTATTGTTTATTTAATTTCATTTGCCTGGGATATATAGTTACTTAGATATTCACATTTTGAATGATGTCAATTTTTTGCGGTGCTGTATAATATGACTTGATTAATCAAATGAATTTACACTGACTAGGCAGAAGATTTTTCCTGCAGTAGGTTGCCATTTCTTTCTGTGATAGACTCGGTCCTATAGTGTCGGCTATAGGACCGAGTCAGTCTTGCTATTCAACCCATAGCTGGGAGGAGAAGAGATAGATTCATACCTTTCCCAAGGGTATTTGTGTGAATGTAACGAACCCAACTGGAATTCAAACTCCGATTTCTCATTCCAAGCTGTTATACATTATACCATAACATGCATATATATTCCTTTTTTTAAAATTAACTTTCTGCTTGTGAAAATCTTTCCAGTCAAATTAATCAGCTGCTGTGTTATTTGTCATGGGAAAAAAGAAAGTTGAATTCTCTAAAATTAGTCATGGATAAGGAAAAAAAAAAAGTAACAAAAGGAAGTTAGAATTTGGTTTTTTGATGCTTCTAAAGATGACAAATTTTCCTGATTGCCCCAAGTTAGCAAGACATGCATCATTTTTTATATTTAGCTTTACACTGAAGAATTTACTCTAAAAAAATCAAATCAAAATTTAATCAAAAGATCATTTTTATTACAAGAAACTAATGTATTTTTCTTCTTTTGAATTCTAACATCCATTGTAAGGTCACTGGGACACCATGTGTACTGATACAAAAGCTACGTCAATAGGTTTGGCAAGCTCACTTACTAGATTCCATTCAGATTATCTTAGGCAAGCTCACCTGCTAGATTCCATTCAGATTGCCTTGTCTTGGGCAAGCTCACCAGCCAGATTCCATTAAAATTGTCATGTCTTGTGTAAACTTACTTACCAGATTCCATTCAGATTGTCTTGGGCAAGCTCACCTGCCAGATTCCATTCAGATTGTCTTGGCCAAGCTCACCTGCCAGATTCCATTCAGAATGTCTTGTCTTGCCAGATTTCCTTCATTGCCAGAGATTGGTTGCCCTACCAATGTTGAATGACCCAGTCTGCATTGCTATTTCATCCATAGATTTGGATGACAGAGGAGATAAAGTTGAGAAGTTTTGCACACACTTAAAAAAGTTACTATTCTTAGTCTGAATAAATATTTCTTTAAAGTGTAGATGTTACTAAACAGGTAAACTGAGGAGATCTGCTAGTCTGGCACAAGGTCACAAATGTAGATAGGATTAAAAGTAAGTTTGGATGTGCTGGTGGTGTAATGGATAACTCAGTATTGTTAATTGGAGAGCCGAGTTCCAATTCAAGTCGGGTTTATTATATTCCCTTACATGCAAATACCCTTGGGAAAAGTATGAATTCACCTCCTCTCCCCCTATCTATGGGTTATTTATTAAGACTTGTATAACTAAACCATTATCTTCAAAAAAAAATTCTTACAATCTAAAAATATTTTCTGGCTTTAAATAATGGGTTGATAAGCCATAAAAAACAGATCAATCAATCACTTTCCTTTACTATGTTGTCTAGGAGTTTTTCTTTCTGTGTCTACCATCAACATGGCATCATCTGCATATTTTATGTTGTTAAGATTTTGCCTACCAATAATAATAATAGTTTAACTGTTACTCCATAATAATGTATCCGCTCTATGGGGTCTATATAAAGACAATTCTGTAAAGAGTTAACATCATAGTAAAATTTTCATGTACAAATTTTGATTTGTTACCAGACAAGATGGATTCTCTCAATTTCTCAATTTTCATTTTATTTGTTTATTTAGGTGAGGAATGGGGGTAATGGAATAGTATTTAAATTTTTTTTTTTTTTATTCCTTCTTACTAATTAGTGTCCATTTTGCTGGAAGCAATGTCAGTTCTAAATTATTAGTTCATTCCTTTTTTTTTATATAAAAAAAAATCTCTATTCACTGGAAGAGAAATAAAAGCAAAAATCAACAAAATTATATTCTTTCCTTTTTTTTTTTAACTGTATGTATAGATACATGTTTAAGTATATTGGTGTGAATGCCTATGTGATTATAGATAAATACACGCACACATTTTTTAATAGGTGGATGTAAAATGCTGATGTCTGTATGACTTTTAAAAATTTGCACTCACATACATAACAATCATATAAGCAATATTACAATGTAATCCACAAATAAACTTAAATATATATTATATCTGTCCCATAATAGTTGTTACATTTGCATAAACATTTCATACACAAAATGTAACAACCATTATGGGACAGATGTTGCATTTTTACTATCTCTGTCCCATAATAGTTGTTACATTTGCATATATATTTTAAAGACTAAATGTAACAATTACTATGGAACAGATATAGCTTCCACAGAATCGGCTTTAGGGAGTACGGAGATCCAATAGGGGACAATTTGTTGTTTTTTTTTTTTTTTTTTAGATTTGTTTTTTATGGCTTATCAACCTTTTGTAGCTTATTTAAAGCCAAAACATATTTTGGGATTGTAAGAATAATTTTTTTTTTCTTGTGAGTGAATATTGTATTAACAATTTCTTAGAGACAATAATGATTTTCAGATACAATTCTTACTATTTTAACCCATAGATGTGGGGAGAAGAGATGGATTCATGACTTTCCCAAGGGTATTTGTGCATAAGTGAATGTAATGAACCTCACTGAAATTCAAACTCAGCTTTATGACTTCTTATTCCGAGCCATTATCCATTACAGCACCTGGTATCCCCCCCAAGTGGTCACCCATCTAGGTACTGACCAGGCTCAATGTTGCTTAACTTCAGTGATCAGATGAGAATCAGTGTTTCAATGTGATAGGGCTGTAAGTCATGGATAATTTGGGTGGACCTCAGCTTGTGTGTACTTGATGAGACGAGGCTAGAATAGTCTAACACATGCCCATTTTAGTCACAGGGCTCAATTGGAAGCAAATGATTTAATTGACTTAAGGCCAGTTCTGGGCCTTTACCTATTTCGTATTGTATAATGTACAATTTTCAAATGAAATTTTGTAGCTAAAAAAATATTACCTGTGTATTATAGATGAAGGATAAATTTTTGCCAACACTCAAAACAAACATCCATCATCACATTTCCATAGCAACACAATTTTCTGAGAGTCAAGATAATAATTTGAAAAATTCAATAACAGTAAATAAACTTTGACCTCAGTAGTTGAATTCTGGTACTATTTTTTTTTTTTCTTTTCAAATGAAAAAAAATCTATATTCATTGGAAGAGAAATAAAACCAAAGATAAAATTATTTTCCTTACATTGTTTTTTTTTTACTATATATATATATATATATATATATATTTTTGGATGGCAACTGGTCTGCCACAGAAAAGAAATGGCAACCTGCTGTGGGGAAAAAAAATCTGCCTTATCAGTCATGTATCAAAAGATAAATGATCACCTAAGTGTGTATCACGCATAGCACATAACTGACTATATATATATATATATATATATATATATATAGGCATGAATGTCTGTGTGATTCCATATAAGTATACACACACACACAGTCTTTTAATGATAAATATTGATAAGTATATATGAAATGTTGATTTCTGTATGGCCTGTAAATATTTGCACTCACATGTAAAAGAAACATAAATTATTAGTAATGTTAAAATGGTAAATAGGTTTGTTTAGCATCCAGTTCACACTCCTCCCTGGTCTTTTGAACAGGAGTAGAAGTTTATCCTTTGTTTTCTGTTTAAGATTAGGTTTCCGGTTCCTTCTAATATCATCTCATTTTCTTTCACTCTTAGTAACTGCTTGCATCTTAGTGGCCTTTATTACCTTGCTTGGGGTGAAGTGATTAAAAAAAAAATATCCACATTAAGAAATTAAGAAATATATATTGATCCTGTTCCATAAAAGTTGCTACATTTGATTATATATTTCATACACTAAATGTAACAATTATTATGGGACAGATTCACAAAGGGTCTTTATAAAGATGGCCTTAGAAAGTGCAAAGTTCAACTTGGAACAAATTTGTGTGGGTGGGTTTTGGGTCCTAGTTTATGCATACTTCATGAACCAATAGTAGAATACTGTAACATAGTATCCCCTTAGGTACTGGGACTACATGCCACAAGGTCCCCAAACAACCCTCCACAGGTTTTGAATTCAGAGTTGTCCTTCTAGTCTAGTTGCCATCCAAGGCTATAGAACCCATTCTTTCCTGCCTCTCCACTTCCTATCTCTATATGATGACACTTGGCTTACAACTGGCTCACATGTGGCTTCAAACTACTGCTACATTTTGAACCCAGATAAAAATCATTCAGTCCATTTTAATTTGTGGGTGTTTTAAGCCAATTATATCAGGCTCCAATTTGTCATATTTTTGCTTTCTAATATTATTATTTAAAATTTTTATCAATTGAACCAACACCAATGAATCATCAACTTTCGTCACTCTTCCTGTTATTATGCCTTAATTATTATTATGCCTTAATTATTATTAACAATCTCTTAACTATTATCACAAATTTAACCTCTCATCTCTTATTCTAATTATATTTTGTCATTGTCTGACACCAGTTTAATGTTGTCCTTAGCCAAACAGCCTCAACCTGTTTTTGGTTTGAAAATAAAACTTTTTATTTTCTAGGTAAGTCGACATAATTCCTCATGATCAACATTTATTGCTATTCCACAACAGGACCAAGGATTTTTCCAAATCTTTTCACAATGACCTTGACTGTTATTCTCAGTCATGTCTTACCAACAAATTCCTCTATTTCATATTTTTATCTTCTGTTTGGTCTTTTACTAATACATTTGTACCAATTGAGCAATCTTTTTCTTGTTATCTTCTTGGTATGTGTACTGTCCACCTCCATGTTTGGCATTTATTCTTAGGGGTCTGATAATGGGGGATCTTTATAATTTTGGAGGAAACTTTCTACCTCACTCTCTGAGTTTATTAAAACCTCCTAGTTTTTAGTTTTTTCTTAATTTACTCTTTCTGTTGTTCTTAGGCTTATTCGTAGCTTTACTCCTTCCAATGTTCATACAGTTATTTGTAACTTTACTCTTTCTGTTGTTCTTAGTCTTATTCGTAGCTTTACTCCTTCCAATGTTCATACAGTTATTTGTAACTTTACTCTTTCTGTTGTTCTTAGTCTTATTAATGTTCATAGCTTTACTCCTTCCAATGTTCATACTTATTAAGTTATTTGTAACTTTTTGTCTTTCTGTTGTTCTTAGTCTTATTCGTAGCTTTACTCCTTCCAATGTTCATACGGTTATTTGTAACTTTACTCTTTCTGTTGTTCTTAGTCTTATTCGTAGCTTTACTCCTTCCAATGTTCATACGGTTATTTGTTGTTCTTAGTCTTATTATTCATCTTGTTCATATACGGTTATTTGTAACTTTACTCTTTCTGTTGTTCTTAGTCTTATTCGTAGCTTTACTCCTTCCAATGTTCATACGGTTATTTGTAACTTTACTCTTTCTGTTGTTCTTAGTCTTATTCGTAGCTTTACTCCTTCCAATGTTCATACGGTTATTTGTAACTTAACTCTTTCTGTTGTTCTTAGTCTTATTCGTAGCTTTACTCCTTCCAATGTTCATACGGTTATTTGTAACTTAACTCTTTCTGTTGTTCTTAGTCTTATTCGTAGCTTTAGACCTTCCAATGTTCATACGGTTATTTGTAACTTTACTCTTTCTGTTGTTCTTAGTCTTATTCGTAGCTTTTACTCCTTCCAATGTTCATAACGGTTATTTGTAACTTAACTCTTTTCTGTTGTTCTTAGTCTTTATTCGTAGCTTTTAGACCTTCCAATGTTCATACGGTTATTTGTAACTTTACTCTTTCTGTTGTTCTTAGTCTTATTCGTAGCTTTACTCCTTCCAATGTTCATACGGTTATTTATAACTTAACTCTTTCTGTTGTTCTTAGTCTTATTCGTAGCTTTACTCCTTCCAATGTTCATACGGTTATTTGTAACTTTACTCTTTCTGTTGTTCTTAGGCTTATTCGTAGCTTTACTCCTTCCAATGTTCATTGTTCTTAGTCTTATTAGTTGTTGTTCAACTTTACTTCTTTCTGTTGTTCTTAGGCTTATTTCCAATGTTCATATAGCTTTACTCCTTCCAATGTTCATACGGTTATTTGTAACTTTACTCTTTCTGTTGTTCTTAGGCTTATTCGTAGCTTTACTCCTTCCAATGTTCATACGGTTATTTGTAACTTTACTCTTTCTGTTGTTCTTAGTCTTATTCGTAGCTTTACTCCTTCCAATGTTCATACAGTTATTTGTAACTTTACTCTTTCTGTTGTTCTTAGTCTTATTCGTAGCTTTACTCCTTCCAATGTTCATACGGTTATTTCTAACTTTACTCTTTCTGTTGTTCTTAGTCTTATTCGTAGCTTTACTCCTTCCAATGTTCATACGGTTGTTCTTAGTCTTTTGTAATAATGTTTACTTGTAACTTTCTGTTGTTCTTAGGCTTATTCGTAGCTTTACTCCTTCCAATGTTCATACGGTTATTTGTAACTTTACTCTTTCTGTTGTTCTTAGTCTTATTCGTAGCTTTACTCCTTCCAATGTTCATACGGTTATTTGTAACTTTACTCTTTCTGTTGTTCTTAGTCTTATTCTGTAGCTTTACTCTTCCAATGTTCATAATGGTTATTTCTAACTTTACTCTTTCTGTTGTTCTTAGTCTTATTCGTAGCTTTACTCCTTCCAATGTTCATACGGTTACTTGTAACTTTACTCTTTCTGTTGTTCTTAGGCTTATTCGTAGCTTTACTCCTTCCAATGTTCATACGGTTATTTGCAATCTTTACTTGTTGTTCTTAGCTTTTACTCTTTCTGTTGTTCTTAGGCTTATTCAGCTTTACTCCTTCCAATGTTCATATATAATGGTTATTTGTAACTTACTTGTAACTTTACTCTTTCTGTTGTTCTTAGTCTTAATCAGCTTTCCTTCCTTCCAATGTTCATACGGTTATTTCTAACTTTACTCTTTCTGTTGTTCTTAGTCTTATTCGTAGCTTTAATCCTTCCAATGTTCATAATGTTACTTGTAACTTTACTCTTTCTGTTGTTCTTAGGCTTATTCTTTAGCTTTACTCCTTTCATAATGTTCATACGTTGTTCTTACTTGTAACTTTACTCTTTCTGTTGTTCTTAGTCTTATTCGTTCTTAGCTTTTCGTACTCCTTCCAATGTTCATAACTTTACTTTTTTTGTTCTTAACTTTAATGTTCATCTTTCTGTTGTTCTTAGTCTTATTCTTTTACTCCTAATGTTCATACGGTTTTTCTAACTTCCAATGTTCATACGGTTATTTCTAACTTTACTCTTTCTGTTGTTCTTAGTCTTATTCGTTCCAATGTTTTTTACTCCTTCCAATGTTCTTAGTCTTATTCGTTATTTCATCCGTAACTTTAACTTTACTCTTTCTGTTGTTCTTAGTCTTATTCGTAGCTTTACTCCTTCCAATGTTCATCCAATGACAGTTTACTTGTAACTTTACTCTTTCTTTGTTCTAGTCTTATTCAGCTTTACAATGTTCATCTGGTTTTTTGTAACTTTGTTCATACTTCCTTTATTTCTAACTTTACTCTTTCTGTTGTTCTTAGGCTTTATTCCTTCCAATGTTCATAACTTTTACTCTTTCTGTTGTTCTTAGTCTTATTCTTTTACTCCTTTCATAATGTTTGTTTGTAACAATAGTTCATTCCAATGTTCATTGTAATTTTAACTTTACTTTTCTGTTGTTCTTAGGCTTATTCGTAGCTTTACTCCTTCCAATGTTCATACGTTGTTATTTGTAACTTTACTCTTTCTGTTGTTCTTAGGCTTATTCTTAGCTTTTCGTACTCCTTCCAATGTTCATACGGTTATTTGTAACTTTACTCTTTCTGTTGTTCTTAGGCTTATTCGTAGCTTTACTCCTTCCAATGTTCATACGTTATTTGTTGTAACTTTACTCTTTCTGTTGTTCTTAGGCTTATTCGTAGCTTTACTTTTCCAATCCTTCTGTTGTTCTTAAATGTTCAGCTTTACTCCTTCCAATGTTCATATTTGTTATTTGTAACTTTACTCTTTCTGTTGTTCTTAGTCTTATTCGTAGCTTTACTCCTTCCAATGTTCATACGGTTATTTGTAACTTTCTGTTGTTCTTAGGCTTATTCGTAGCTTTACTCCTTCCATTATTCTTTGTGCACTTTTTTTAGTTTATTTTGAAATGATTTTGTTAATTTTCATATTTTGAGCCCTTACATCATCACTGGTATTATCACATTAATTGCACACTTTACATGTTAAGTATGTGGGTGGCATGCTTTTCTTTATGTTCTTCTTTTTGTCAAACTTTTCATTAGACATTATTTTATTTTCATTTTCATCATTTAATGTTATCACCTGTCCTAAGTATATGTAATCATGAATGTACAGCTGAATATTACGTTTGTTTTCTGTTCATTTTCAAACATGCACCGTGAGTGGTTTCACTGTTCAGACTATTTGCCATTTCTTGTTGTTTATCAGTGATTAAAATGTTGTTGGCTAATTCTACGTGGTTTAGATATTCTTTGTATATGTTTGCACATTGAAACATCGGGTCTCATACAATCACTAAAGTTAAGCAACATCAAGCCTTGTCAGTACCTAGATGGGTGACAGTTTGGGAATACCTGGTGCTGTAAGCTTGGATATGCAGGTAGTGTATAGATAACAGCTTGGAATTGTTAATCGGAGAGCTGAATTACAATTCCAGTTGAGTTTGTTATATTCCCTTACACACAAATTCCCTTGAGAAAGGGATGTATCCACCTCTTCTCCCCCAGTTATGTGTTAAATAGTTGAACTTTCATTAGAAAATCCTTATTTTCTAAAACATTCTTATAATTTAAAAACATTTTCTGATTTTAAATAAACTACAAAAGGCTTATAAGCCATAAAAATCAAATCAATGAATCAATTTATATGTTTACGTTCAGTTCTCCCTCACAGTTAATTTTCAGAAAAATAAATGTTTTCAAACCCTTTTGTAAATAGTTTACTTGAAATCGTATCCAACAAAACTTATCCGACATATAAATTTCTCTTCTCTCCATCTGCTTATCACTTCTATCGATTATGGTAACTATGATCAGTGTCCGTTGACTTCTTCAGTGGAATTGCAGTTTCCTCACCAACTACAAGTCAGCACATCTTCTACTGGCTTTGTTTCCCATTTTAACACCTTTCAAATCTGTGCACACCTATGTCTCAACTCACTGAGGTGAGATACAGTGGGTGCTAAGGAGTGATGGATCTCTTAGGTGACCCTGATTGAGATCAGTAATAACCAGTTCTGGCATCCGAAGTTCACATGAACTGATTCTTAAAATTATAAAAGCTTAGTGAACTCGTTGTTGGCTTATCCGAAAATAATCTTATATATTAATAGCCGATATATAATAGCTAAAAATATAATTAATACCGTTGCTTAAGTTCTGTGGAGGCTGAAATAGAGTGTTCTTTGATGAACATAATTTATTCTGACAATAGAAATCATCTTCAACTTAAAAATGTGGGAAAATCTTTTATCCATAAATTTGACAGATCTTCCATTGGATCTTTGGGACTGCAGCGATTCAGTTGGAATGTGGTTAAGAAACCATAGCACAACTGATGACATTAGAGTAAAAAAGCATCATAATTCTGAAAAGAAATATGATGTGAACAGAATTTCAATCTGGAAATATCTTAATAAATAAATGTTTTCTATTAAATTATCAAAATGGTTTAATTCTTTTTGATACTATAAAGTGATTTGTTTCCATTCTCAGATCGAAAAGGAAATAAGCAGAATAGGTTCCTAAAAATTACCTGCTTTTATAGAACCGGTTCTTGGAAATTTTGAATGTCATTATTGGTAATGAACAATGGTCAAGCTCATTAGGAGAAATTTACTAACCCAGATGTGTTGAGGGTGGGAAATGCAAAAAATATATTCAGATCAGTTTTTTTTTTTTTAATTTTTATGTTTTATTTTTTTGGAGTGTCAAAAATGATTTTCTCCAGAATTAGTTTGAATTTCATATTTGTGTAAAATCTGAAATTCTACATCAAGAAATTGTTTTATCAAAATGGATTTTAATCTTGATTGGATGTTGTTTTATTATATCTTGAAATTAATGGCATCCAAAAAAATATTTTAGACATTTTCAAGATGATGAAAAATGCTGAGGGTGTGGTAGATGTACTTCAGTCAAATTTAGGAATAGTAAAATAATGAAAACAAGATTAAATGAAAATTAATTTAATGAATGACTGCTGATAAAGGTTTAATAATCATTTTCTTCGAATAAATGAAAATCAAGATCTTGAAATTCAAAATAACTGTGACAATTTTTAAAATAACACTTTTTTTTTTAAATGCCATGTGCATTTAGGATGTTGGCGTTCATAGCTCTCCACACATTGCTTTTTTTCATTATCTGTGAATTGCCATGACTTCTTGGGAAAGATAGTAAAATGGTTTCCTGTTCCATTTTCCTAAACTAGTTACTTTTTTTTTTAGATATCATGTTCTTTCAAGACAGGAGCAATCATGGCTTTCCACAGCTTCCTTTCCTTTATTATCTGTAAATTGCCATGCCTTCTTGGGAAAGATAGTAGAGTGGTTTCCTTGTTTCCTACTCCTAAACTAGTTCCCTTTTTTTAGATGCCATGTTCCTTCAAGCCGGAAACAATCATGGCTCTCCACAACTTCCTTTCCTTAATTATCTGTAAATTGCCATGCCTTCTTGGGAAAGACAGTAGAGTGGTTTCCTTGTTTCCTACTCCTAAACTAGTTCCCTTTTTTTAGATGCCATATCCCTTCAAGCCGGAAACAATCATGGCTCTCCACAACTTCTTATTCTTAATTATCTGTAAATTGTCATGCCTTCTTGGGAAAGACAGTAGAGTGGTTTCCTTGTTTCCTACTCCTAAACTAGTTCTTTTTTTAGATGCCATGTCCCTTCAGGATGGAAACAATCATGGCTCTCCACAGATTCCTTTCATTTATTATCTGTGAATTGCCACATCTTCTTGGGAAAGATAGTAGAGTGGTTCCCCAGTTCTTTCTCCACTGTTTTGAATTCAGAGTTTTTCTTCTCTTAGACTGGTTGCTAACCAAGGCTAGAGAGTCCAGTCTATCCTATTATTTAACATAGCTAGGAACAGGGAGAAGAGATGAATTCATAACTTTCCCAAGCATATTTATGCAAAAAAGAATGCAGGAATTATGATTTATATAGTGGGAAAATAGGGTTTCCTAAATCATTGCCTACCAACCATGTTCTGGATGCATCAAATTTTTCATTCATATTGCATGTGCCAATTTTTATATGCACATGTGCCATACAAATTTAAATTCTTGTAAAAAATATTTATCTAAGTATATTTAGAATTTTTATTTAATTTATTGATTTAATATAAAAATAAGATAAATGTTACTTCCCTTAAGGAAACTTTGGAATTTGTTTTGATTTCACCAAAATTTTTAATTATTGAGAGCAGCTGAGAATTCTTGAAATTTTGATCAGTCTATCATAATCTCATTTTTTTTTTTTTTTATCAGCTTCATAGCTGAAACTGCTGGTTCACATGTGTATGTTGTTCCAAAATGGCAGATATAATTTTCTTAATTCAGAAATTTTTCACAAAGTAACGATCGTTATAAATGAAAAAAAAGTCAGAATCATTTGGAAATGAAAGGAACTCCTTAAATTTCATTTTCAATAATGAATTTGTTCTCAACTCAGCAAGTTCCATCTTTGTGTTAACTGGCATCTTCATGAATTCTGTTTTTTTTTTTTTGCTCTTCTTCTCTGTGCCATGTCCCTTCAAATTTTCCAAGCCTTCTTTCCTCATTATGTACCCTAGAAATTTCAACTGTCTCTTCTTGATGTCTTTTTTGCTTCTATCTTTGCTAAAACTTTGTCATTGCACACATGTTCAGTCCATGGTATTCTCAACATCCTTCTGTAGAACCATGTTTCTGATGCTTCAAGTTTCTCTTTTTTTTCATCTGTGATTGTCCAGCATTCACTAATGAAAATGAGTTTATAGATGCAAATATGCAGTCCTCACCTTTTTTAATTGTTCATTGAAAGTTGCTATGATTTTCTGCATTTATTCTTTTGCATTGTAAATGGGAACTAAAATTTTAAAAAATCACAAAAATAAATATTCAAAAAAATAAATAAATTACAATTTTGTAGTGTATGAGTGTCAGTTGGAAAAAGATTTGCAAAACTTACTGGTATTTAATGTCATATTATTCTGGTTGGTCCTGATATATATCTTGGTAATCCACCAAGCATAGACCATTACTATTGTAATGAGTTCAGTACTCAGTGGGTGCTCTATTATTGTAGCCTTGTCATGATAATTCTTTCTGTTGCTGATATAAAAAGTAGGGCACCAACCCCTACATCTGAGTGTTTTTGTTGAGACACCATCTTTAGAAAAACTGCCACTCAAAGCTAAAGACTTCTTTCAAGCCATGCAGTGAATTATCCTGCACCAGGAATTTGAATTTCTGTGGACTGTCATAGAGACTCCAGCTCCAGATTTGTCCTCAGGTCAAAGTCCTTGTGTCACACTAAGCTAATTTTAGTAAATAAACATTATTTATCTGTCAGTTTCTTTTCACTATGATCTTTTTATTTTTAATGTTCTTTTTCTTTTTTTTCCTCTGAGATTGTGAGTAAAGAAAAATATCAAAAAAAAAGTTGTGTTAAAATATCCAAGGTACTACAGGGGGTGCTGAGGGGTTGGCTGAAGACCTCCCCCCTCCCAATTATTGCTGAAAGTGAGAACTAAATAGAAAACTAAATTTGATCTCTTGACCTCAATCTATGATTGTGATATTGAGCTTAATTTTTCAGTTGTCATTTGTCTAAAATCATTACTGTCATTATTTTTTTGAAAATAAATCAGAAAACTTAATTTTTGTTGCACCCCCCACTTCCCACCTGAAATATGAACTTCTAAAATTTTGACATAAGTTTTATATGAGGGAAAAGTTTATAAGTCTCAATCCAGAAGACAAGTACAAGGGAAAATCTCCAAAAAGTAAATCTGCCCCCAACTACTTTTATAATCTGATTTAGCACTGAGGATTTATTTTGTGGCATTCTGATTGTAAAACTTTAATAACTACTACTTTTTTTTTTTTTTTTTTTTTTTGCATACAAATGAGGTACAAGTCTAAAATTTGGGGCCAATATGGAATGTAGTAATTTCCCCACAAAATTATTTTAGTTTTGTTTAAAAAAAAAAGAAAAAAATGATATTCAGTGGGTGTTGAAAAAAACATAGATGTGCCCGAGCAGACATCTTCAAAGAGGATTTGCTAGCTGTCATAGCAGACAGGCATGCTCAGATACACTGACAGACATTATATATCTGCATGTGTGTGTGCATGTTGTTTTTTTTTTTTGGTAGAATAATATAAATTAATTTAGACTACAGCAACCAGATCACTGAGTGAACTAGTTTCACATTTTTTTTCCTTGTGGTTTGTTTAAGGTGCAAACACAAGTTAAAAAACAATAAAAAGAAAACCTTACATCCGTTTGAGTAGCGCAGACATCAACGAAAACTTTCTCCATTGATTGGAGTGGGGGTTGAAAAATTTAAAAAAACAAAAAGAAAAAAATGTTATGCAA